ACTTCACATGCAGGTATCCCGCTAGCTGAGTGGCAATTGTCATATTAGAAGCATTGTCGGTGACAACCACCAGATTTTTGTCGGCAATCCCCCATTCCTGTGCTGTATTTTGCAGGAGATTTGCAATGTTCGCTCCGGTGTGACTTTCATGTAATGTTCGAGTTTGGAGAACGTAAGACAGCAGTTGCCAGTCCGCTGTGAGATAATGAGCTGTTATATAGTCACATATGAATCCACAGCCCGCGAGGTCCATGCGTCGCAAGTTAATGCAACCCTTTCTGCTGTGCTCAAACTTTCCTCAACTTTACGCTTCACATCTATGTAGAGATTGGGTATGTGATACTGCGGCTGTGTCCGCGAAAAAACGTCGTGATGGTATCACATACCTGGGTTACCTTGATCATGTAAGAAAAGCCCTCGTTTTCCACAATGTTGTAAGGACGCAGGTCTTTGCAGATGAAGTACGTGATAGATTGTGTTATTTTCTTAGCTCGCTCTGAATTGGGAGATAGCTTTGCTAAGCTAAGAGTGTCCAGCGTTGGTTGATTTTTTTCCAGTGGAGCTGATTCAGACCTAGCTTTCCCGTCCGCGGTTAATGCTATTTTTGGATGGTGCCGTGTAAGATGGGCCCTCATGTTCGTAGTATTCCCAGAGTACTTTATTTTCATACGACACACCTTGCAAATCCCGTGTGTCATATCCATCTCATTTGTTCCATCCTTGTTAAAAAATCCAAAGTACGTCCAGACATTTGATTTAAACGCAGATGGCGCTTTCCTGATCTCTTTTTCTTCCTCCATCTTTGTTTGATCTATTTTCCCATGTGCTGACCTAACCTCTGCTGACCTCACTAGAGAAAAAGCTCAACCGCACCATCTGGTGGACTGGAAGTTTTTGGAACAAAATATCGATATCTGCTGTCCCTGTATTGATACATTATTAGCAAACAAAATATCGCGATACTACGCAGTATCGATTTTTTCCCCCACCATATTTGAACCAAACAACAGTGAAAAGTTATCACTGACAGCAATTATCAACACAACAGCAGCCGTGTGCTTAAATGGGTTTCAGATTCACCTGAGCCTTGTTACTTGTTCAGCAGGTGACAAAAATAAACTAAAATGAACCTTTGTGGCAGCAGCACACCCTTACATGAATCTATACAAGGAACACGGGCTGGAATTTGGACACACCTCTATCTGTTTTGGACAGAATGTTCAAGCTAGTAAATCAGATGCACACTCCCACTCTCCACACCACTTAAAACGAAATCTTTTGTTTACGCATTCCAAGAAATTTACTGTCGCGGATTTTTTAAAAATTTATTTATTTTCTCTTATAAAAGTAATTCTCACCAGTGGGCCTATTTTTTATGGAAGAGCGTAAATTAAATACAGGGTAGCAGTAGTCTTTTTTAATTTTTTTATAAACTGCAAACTACAATGGTAAATAAGAAGATCAATAGTTGCATATAAATTACATATACATGTATGTTTTAAGAATAACATGTGTGCACCTCTATAACAAAACAGCACTGCCAAGAGGTCTTAAATCTTTTTACTGATCAGTGAATCTGTGTTTTTTAACTGTTGTTTGCAGAGAGTCAGAGACGGAGCTGAAGCCGCTGCCTAAGAAGAGCATTGACACAGGGATGGGTCTGGAGCGCCTTGTGTCTGTACTGCAGAACAAGATGTCCAACTATGACACTGACCTTTTCATACCGTACTTTGAAGCCATTCAGAAGGTACAGAAGTGTCAAGGATTTGTGCGAAAGAGAGAGACCATCTATCCTTTACTTGACAGTTCAATGAAAGAGAAATTATGATTAGATTGGGCAAGATCCAGTAAATAGTAATAGCTACTGAATCAAAATATCAAAACTTATTCCTATAAATTAATCTGGTAGTATGAATCCACACAAAGTTGCCTTAACAGCAGCATTTATCAACGTGTTTATTTACATTAGAGGAAGACGTTTGGGGCCCACATATCTAACATTAAGAATATGATCTATTTCAGGGTACGGGTGCTCGACCTTACACAGGAAAAGTAGGTGCTGAGGACGCTGATGGTATCGACATGGCTTACCGTGTGCTTGCTGACCACGCCCGCACCATCACCATCGCCTTATCAGATGGCGGTCGGCCTGACAACACAGGAAGAGGGTAAGACATTGTTAATTGTCAGTAACAGTAACTAACATGATTGCTGCAAATGAAAAGTTTTGTGGAGCCTTTTTTTACACATCATTAAAATATTTTGTTGTTTCCACCATATTTAGCTACGTGTTAAGGAGGATCCTGCGCCGTGCGGTCAGATATTCTCATGAGAAGCTGGGCGCTCAGAGAGGCTTCTTTGCCTCTCTCGTGGATGTAGTGGTCGATTCCCTGGTGAGATTTTCTTTCCTTTGTAGTCCATGTAGGCATTACAGACACACAACTTGCTGTTGTTTGGGTTATTGTCATGAGGGTTACGTTAATTTTTAGCTGTTTTATTCTCTGATCTTGTAGTGTGACTGGGTTAATGTTGAAGACAGTTTTCCTCTTGCGTTTTTAAAAAGCATTTCCTACTTTAGAAGCCAAAAAAACATTTGTTCTTTTCTACCAAAACTAGTTTAATTCCATTTTTCTTTTAATGCTTAATTGCATTTACTGGATGACAGCAGTGAATAGAATTCACTGCAGGAAGCATCCTTATTATTAATATTAGATTTCACATGAGATTTTGTTTTATATATTCTTAATTGTGAGGTGTGTATTTTGTATTTTTCAGTGTTGTGAAAAAACATGACTGTTTCAAAAAATCTTGGTGTTTAGTATTAGTTAATATATAACACTTAATAAACTCTAAATGATGTGTCTCTCTTTTTTTTTTACTCCTCCTTTTCCGTTTCTTTCTTTCTTCCCCCCTCTCTGTCTACATCTCCATCTGTCTACTTTGACTGCATTTTCCAGGGTGAAGCATTCCCAGAGTTGAAGAAAGACCCAGAAATGGTGAAGGACATTATTAACGAGGAAGAGGCGCAGTTCCTTAAAACCCTCAGCAGAGGGCGCCGTATCCTGGATAGGAAGATAATGAGTCTGGCTGACACAAAGACAATCCCAGGTGAGAGTGCGGTGTTTAGTGTAATGTGTGTAACTTTCTTTTAAGAAGTTCACTGCTCTCTTTTTGTTACATCCTCCCCGAATTATCCTCGTCATTTTATCCTTTCTTCACCTTTCATCTGTCTTCACCACCCACATGACTTCTTCTTTTCTTGGCTCATTTTTCTGTCATTTCTTCCCTCCTTCAGTTGCTTTGTTTTCCCGCTTTTAATCCCATCAGAATTTGTTGGCATTATGGTTCAGTCTCTCCCTTCATCTTTTTGTCTGATTGTCATGCTCAATGCCTCAGAGCTTCTCAGATCAGTACAAAAATACTCACTAAAGGGAAGGAATTAGTTTGAAAAGCTAAAAATTCATCAGTTGATGTTTCACACTATAAATTCAAGCGACATAAAAATTGATGCACATTCAGCTTTGCTTATAAACGTAACCCTCCTGGGTTGTTGGTGTACACTGTAATGGATTTTTTCAAAAGTTGTATACCTCAGGCAAACTAATATTTCTTCATTGTCACAAAGTGTGTCCAAATCATTACTGCACCCTGCAAACATAAGCTGCTACAAAGCAGTTTATTTGTTCTTTTCATGCTTTTACTTATCCAAACAATGCCTCCAGTCCATCAATATTTTTTTTTATTGTCTGACTCAAGGACATAAGTGTTTAAGCAGTGTTGTTTCAGACACTCACACTTCTGTCTTTTCTCCCTCTCTCTGTGCACACAGGTGACACAGCATGGTTGCTGTATGACACATACGGTTTCCCTCTGGACCTCACCTCCCTTATTGCTGAGGAGAAAGGCATGGAGGTTGACCTGGCTGGCTTCGAGGAGGAGAAGAAGGCTGCACAGGTGAGCAGATGATTGTTTGAAAATGGCCTTGACCGTCCTGACTCTACTGAGTCTCGCTAACTACCCTACTGTGCCACTCCTATGGGTGCACTGTTTTGCTTTGTGTCAGCATTCTCCAGTACTGCACTTTAAGTCAGAACCAGGAGTCATGCACCTGCTGTTTAAATAAGCCTACATTTACTTTACAGCCTTGTGTGAATCCCTTGTTGTTTGATTAAGCCAAAAGATTGATTTGCTTTCCGTAAAACTGCAACCTCTGATTTCTATCCCACACATTTCATCGATTTTGTACGAGTCTCATACCAATACTGCAGTTCTCCTCATTCCCACTTGGGGGAGTTTGACACAGAACACAATCACTCTACAATATCTCCTTAACCTTATATAGAGTTACCAGTTTATTAGATACACATGTGAAGCCTCAAACCAGTTTTTCTCAGCGTTTTAAAAAAAATAGTATCACATAAGTACTTATTTATTATTCAAGTGTGTCTTGAAGAAGGAGAACAAATTTAGGAACATTGCAAACTTCAAATGTTCTCAGTGGTCTTTAACATGTGAAACTTGCATTATCCAGAAAATATCTCATTACATTGCAATATAAAGTGCCTTGAGGCAACTGTTGTTGTGAATTGGTGCTAAATAAATAAAACTGAATTGAATAAATATACAGAAAAAGAAACTTGCAAAATATCTCATAAGTGGGATTTCTACACTTCTGGGTTTCTACAACTATACTGCATTGTCCTCTCTTTCCCCCAGATTTTGCTTCGTCATGGCTGTAATTTCTTCTCCCTTTATTCTTTTCCCCTCATCTTACTGAGCTGCATCCATTCTGCACTAAAGCACTACATGTTTTACAAATCCAATTGCTCATTTAACTGTTATGTGCTTAAGCAATGGATGCAGTCTGAGCCAGTTTACCTGAAATTTGTCTTGTGGCTGTCCCCTCACTTGTTGCTGTTTCCTTTTGTTTTTCTGAGTTGATTAACATTTATGTTGGCTAGAAATCAACATATGCATCTTTGAAACCTGTCTGTAAGAAAGTGAGAGAGCTTATAATCTTGTAAAGAAAAGGAAAGAGAGCTCTGAAAGTGCTGCTTGGGTCTGATTTTGTGCCATCTCTGTAGCACTCCCGCAAAGTCACTCCATCTTCCACACTGATATAAATGTAGAACGCTTAAAATTATTAGATATTGATGTAAATGTACAGGAATTTAACTCATTATATCTGCTACAGTTCTGGGAACTGATTGAATGCATGAATTATGCACAATCTTGCACAGTCATTATTTAACAAATGTCTAATCTTTATTGAATGATTATACCAGGCAAATTGTGATTGTCTTTGCTATCAGTCATTCTGTAATTATGTAAAATTTTAATTGTAAATGTTTCTGTATTTTGGGGGTTATGACTGAGCATAAGTCTGTGTTTGTGTGTGTGTGTAGTTGAAGTCCCAGGGTAAGGGCGCGGGAGATGAGGACCACATCATGTTGGACATCTACGCCATCGAAGAGCTGAGAAACAAGCAGATACCCGCCACAGATGACTCTCCCAAATACAATTATACCTCAGATGAAAACGGCAACTACCGTGAGTGATCCATAGAAAAGCACTATATAACAAGTCCATTTACCTTTTAAAGTCAACTGATCTGTATCCTATTATTGTACCCAGAGTTCCAGCAAACCTCAGCTACAGTGCTTGCCCTCCGTCACGACCGCGCCTTCTGCGATAAGGTGACCACGGGTCAGGAGTGCGGCGTGGTGCTGGACCAGACGTCCTTCTACGCAGAGCAGGGTGGACAGACATTTGATGAAGGCTACATGCTCAGAGAGGATGACAGTACAGAGGATGTAAGTGCAATAAAAATAAATTGAGGGAAACAACACCTAGGTTCATGTGCTTTTTACACTTCTGTAATGAGCTCTGTTAATCCTGTTTGCGTTGTAAAAAAGAGCTTTGATAGTTTCCCTTCATTAGGGTAATTGTCACAGTTGGAGTTTGTTTTTCCTCCCGAACACATTGCAGGTACAGAGAAATCGAGCTTTACCTTTTGTCAACTTTTAACTGGGCGGATGAGAATTGCACAGTCTATCTTCAAAGCTAACACATTTGTTCAAATAGCACTTCTGGATCTGATAGCTGCTGGAAATCATGGCCGTGAGCAAACAGCCCATCTGCTTGGCGAAAAAGCCTGCGAAATGAATTATCATATTTCTTACAGAAGAATGGACAAAAGATAATAAATTGTTCTTGTCTCTCGTCCATAACTGAGAACTTGAATGGCATGAAAACATTCATATCAGTTTTAGCAGAACATCTGTGGGGGGGGGGGGTCCATTCAAATGCCAGCACTTCATTTCTTTTGTATGTCTTTATGTATTCTTCTCGTAATTCTCATATTTGCTGAGAATGTGGGAACTTTCTATAAAGAGCTTTTAACTTATTAAGTCATCACGTTCTCCAAAATATTTAATCTCATAGACACACAAACCATCAGACTGCCTTCAGTTTTTCTTTTTGCCCATGAAAACTTTTGTTTGAATGTACTCTTCTGCTTTTTGCAGCGCATGGAGTTCTCGGTGAAGAATACGCAGGTTCGAGGAGGTTACGTTCTCCATGTGGGTACAGTCTATGGCACACTGAAAGTTGGAGACCGTGTCACCTTACACGTAGATGAGGTGAGAATTGAAACCGGGATATTAACCCTATTTTTTAAAAACAAACAAACAAAAAAAAGCCAGCTAAGTAAAAGAGATTCTAGGTAGGTTGAGCTTTATGTAGAGCTTTATCTATCCACACACACTTTCCAGGCTCGCCGTAGACCCATCATGAGCAACCACACTGCCACACACATCTTGAACTTTGCCCTGCGTGGGGTGCTAGGGGAGGCAGACCAGAGGGGCTCCCTGGTTGCCCCCGATCGCCTGCGCTTTGACTTCACTGCTAAAGGTGCTCTCAGCACGGATGAGATCCACCGGACTGAGGAGATCGCTTGTACCATGATTAAAGATGCTAAGGTCAGTGGATGGAGTGAAATCACCAGCCAGTTTTTTGAAGAGAAAAAAATGTTGATCCTCACAGACTTTTATTTAATATTAATATTGGATTTGAACTTTCCAGCCTGTGTACGCAATGGAAGCAACCCTCGCAGAAGCCAAAGCGATTCAGGGTCTGCGCGCTGTATTCGATGAGACATACCCCGACCCGGTCCGTGTCGTGTCTGTTGGCATTCCTGTCCCAGAACTGCTGGCCGACCCCAACAGTGCTGCTGGCTCCCTCACCTCCATCGAGTTTTGTGGTGGAACGTGAGTATGACACTTGTTTTCAGTCTTTGTGCATTTCTGCTCACACTTGACGGGGAATGCAAATCAACCACATGGCTGTTAGCGTTGTTGGGTCAACTCAGCGTGGTTTCCTCTTAACAAAAAGCTTTTATATGTGATGGGTCTAAGGAAGCCCTTTTCCACCACTAAAAAAAAGTAACTCTTTCTCGAAATTTTGAATTATTTTTTCAAAATTTCGAGTTAATACGTTTCGAGAAAAGTAACTTGAAATTTCGAGTTAGCGGTGTGGATATGTCAAACACCCTTTAGACTTATGTATTAAAGTGCTTAATTTGAGCCAATAGTTTAAATTCATCAGATTTTTTTTCAGTATTATTTTGTTTTTCTTTTATTATTCAACCATTTGGATTTTAAGTCTTACATTTAGGGGCAACTGTGTCAGCAGCACCTACTAGGCTTCAGCCTGAGCTGAACTGAAGACTGCGTTTCTGATAATGGATCTATATGAAAAATAATATGGCTGTTTTTTGTGGTACAGTCTTCCAACAAGTTATAATTATAGTATTATTTTTTATGCCTGTTATTAGCAGGGTATCTGTATCTGTGCGTTGTCCCCCATTCTTTAAAAAAAAGAAAAAGAAGCTCGCTAAGCTTGCTATGGTAGGGACCAACACACTAATGTTTAGACTTTAAAATGTGGACTCCAGTGGTAGATAGAGTAATAGCTATAGCTGTGTTTAATATACGGTTTATGGCTTGGACCCTTCAACCTCAGATTGTACAGTTTGGTGCTGGATCTCAGGTTCTATCGCTAACTATGTTATTGATGGGTTTCTTGTCTGTGATTTAAATCAGTTGCAGCCGTTCCCCATGAATAATGGACTCTAATTGTCAGTTTCTCAACAGTTTCTCAAACAGAGAAAATGGCCTTCTGTTAGTGTTTGCCTAAAAACCTGAAACCAGTTTTTCTCAGCTTCACTCCTTTAGTTTGGAGAGCTGCTTCATTCATTATCATGTTGTGATAATGAATGGTGACAATGCCTATTTGTTTAACAGTGTATTTCACAGATGTTAGTGATGTTTGGGAAAATGCACGGGGGGAAAAATGAGCAGAACGACAACATGTGGCAGGATGAAAAATCCAAGCATGCTAACATTTTTCTTAATTTGATATGCTGCATTGATTCAAGTGTGTTTGCCGTGCCATTACTGTGTGTGCGCCCTGAGTGGAATCAAGTGTGCAGCGTGAACACATCAGTGTACAAAAGTCCAAATACGCGCATTTGCATTGGGCCGATAGTTTTCAGACCAGCCCAGGGGCGGTGTGTAAAGTGGAAAGCGTTAATTGGATTTGTGCATCTTTATGGTGAGACGAGCGTGTCCCTGTGCAGACAGAGGCCTGGAACATTTCGTCAAGCTCAATCCACTGATTAGACTTGCTCCACTGACTCGTACAGTGTCTGCTCCTGGCTGTAAAATTCACCTGAATGCCCAGACATCTCCGCTCTTTCACACGTTGTGTTATAGCCTGGCTTTTTATGCCATTTTGTGCTGCAGGAGCCAATATTCCGAGCTACATTTGATGCAAAGGCTGCGAGGGTCGGTTCAGATTTTAAGCACCGCAAAAGACATTTGCATTAAGCCCATTCTATCTTCTTTTTTCTTTTTTTGGTTTTAATTGCACATCCTTCCATCTCAAGCTGCTTCAGGTTTCAGTAAACTGTTGGTGTGCTTCTTGATGCTGTCTTTGATGTTGTTTTAATCTGCAGCCACTTCAAAGAGCCTCTCATTCCTGCTGCTGTTGTTTGGTAATGTTTTCCTCTCCCTCTGCTCCTCATCCTTTGCTCCTGCTCGCCCCTCTCCTACTTCTCATCTGCCTCCCGCAGTTGTGTAACGTTTTTGTTTTCTGTTATCCACAGCCATCTGCAGAACTCGGGTCACGCCGCGCCGTTCGTCATCGTCTCAGAGGAGGCCATCGCTAAGGGCATCCGCCGCATCGTTGCAGTGACAGGAACAGAGGCCCAGAAGGTCAGGACACACACACACACAGCTTACACTTACTGATGTACTCGCTCAAAGCGTTACACTCATGTACTCACTTCCACCCCCACATACAGAGAAGGGTTTAGACAACATTTTAAAGACGGTAGCCCCACAGAGGGGCGGGGGTGTCTTGATGGTGAAATGTTCACACTGGTAACTACAAACACGACTGATTAAAGGAAAATTTGTCCCAGACAAAGCGACCTTTGGGTTTCTGTGATGAAACTTGAATGAATGTTGGGGTGAACACTGTAGTAGAAAGAAGAATGTAGCACCCCTCTCTCTTCAGGCCCACAGGACAAATTTACTATTTTTAGACAATTAGTCTTTCATCTTTTCCACCAGTCGTCTTCTCTTCTCATTCTTCCTCCTCGTGTTTCTTTGCCCTTTTTGATCTTTGCCCCTGCCTCACTCTGCTGTGTCGCATATCCATCAGGCTCAAAGGAAAGCCGATGCCCTGCGCCAGTCTCTGTCTGCCCTTGGAGACAAGGTGAAGCAGCAGACAAGCCCAAACAAGGACATACAGAAAGAGATTGCTGACATGACTGAGGTAAATGGGATGTTTGGTTTAGAGAGACGTTCTGAGGCAAATAAAAAAAATTGTGAAAAAATTGCAAATTGCGCTGTGGTAACATCTCCGTCTCCTCTGCAGTCGATAGGCACCGCTGTAATCTCTCAGTGGCAAAAGGATGAGATGAGGGAAACCCTGAAGGGCCTGAAAAAGACCATGGATGACTTGGACCGCAACTACAAGGCTGACATCCAGAAGAGGGTTCTGGAGAAGACGAAGGAGGTGATTGAAAGCAACCCAAACCAGCCGCTGCTCATCATGGAGATGGAGACTGGAGCCTCGGCAAAGGTGAGAGTCAAGACAGAATATTTTTGGGAAGGCAAGTCTAAAAATCAGTAGCAGAATTCTTATAAATCTCTTTACGTGTTATTCCATAAAAGAACCATGTCCTTGTTGGATATACAGAGCATAAAGAGAGAGCAAATTTATAATCCAATCCCCGAGACTTCATCAGCATCCTGTACAGAAATAAATTAGGAGTGCAAACAGTATTAAAATTCACTTTATCTCTGCACATTTTCTCAGGCTCACTTAGCTTATCTCACTGTGTTATTGCCACGGGACTAAATCAGCTCTGTGGCCCATTAGTTGTGACCTTGAGACATCAATAGTGCTGATTAGGAGGTGTTTTTTATTCTTCTCTTCCCACTTCCTTTTACCCCTCTTTACATCCCTCTTTCCTTCTTCCTCTCTCAGGCTCTGAATGAGTCACTGAAGCTGCTGAAGTCGCAGTCCCCTCAGACAGCTGCGATGCTCTTCACTGTAGACCCAGATGCTGGCAAGATCACCTGTTTGTGTCAAGTCCCACAGGTATCGTTCAGTGACATATGCTAGAAGCCTTGCTCTGAGCATTTTCCATGAATTTAACCCTCCGCTTTCCACCCTCCACCTTTCTTCTCTGCAGGATGTGGCTAACCGTGGCCTGAAGGCCAGCCAATGGGTTCAGGAGCTGTGTCCCCTGCTGGACGGCAAGGGAGGCGGCAAAGACATGTCTGCACAGGCCACGGGCAGGAACACACAGTGCCTGCAGGAGGCGCTCCAGATGGCCAACGAGTTTGCACGGCTCAAACTGGGGGAGAACTAAGAGGCGCGAGGGTGGGGTCTGTGTGGGAGGTGCGGTTACAAACATATCGGGGAGTGAAGTGGAAATTAGTCTGAAATCTTCAAACATCCTGTCTTCGTTTTCCTCTCCTCTTTTAGACTTAGAAAGGCTGGAAAACTAGCAAAACTCAACCACTGATGCTCAGCCAGCAATAAATGAGCCACTCGTCTTTACTTTCTGCTTTGCCCTGTTAAAACTCGTCTCTCTGGGAATAACTTGAACACATAAGATCCACTCATAACTGGAGGATGGCAGATGATTTCTACTTTCCTGTTTCCAACTCATTTTTGCATGCAGAGGAAAAGAAAAGGGACATACATTTGATGTAGCCTCCTACAAGTACTGTGCAGCTCAGATAAATTGACAAAAAATTCCCACCTTGGAGCACAAAGTGGGCTTTCGACATACCACCATCCTGCCTCCATGTTTAGTTTCATCTCACTGTAGTCCTGTTTGTTTAGAAACAAGCCCCCAAGGCACTTTGTCCTTCTTTTGGCTTCCTGTACCACTTGGGCTCAGGAATAACAGTAAAGTTGACCCAGCTTGGACACAGTATAAATAATGTTTATCCTTTATTGGCAAAAAGCAGTTTGGCTCCGTCCATGTGTATGACAAAAGCCTGTGTGCTCTCCTGTGATTAGCTGGACTTGAGTTGTACAGTACATGCAGTAGCTGTATTATAGTCTTCAAATAACAAGCCATTTTCTGACATGTAATAAAATAATGGGTTTAATTTAGTAAATTAAGAATTCACTAATTGTAAAATGATCACGAACATGTCTAGTAACCAATCTTTGCAATTTCATGCTGCTGACATTTAATATTGATTAATTAAATGCAGAAAGTTTTGTTATTGTATCTGCTTCCTGTCACTGAAATGTCACGTTATGGGATGGAATAAATACAGCTGACAAATGCCACATGTCTGTGTCATTCCTGGTAGATCTGTGATGAACTTTGGGTTATTCATTTCAGATGGACTGTTATGGATTTGAGATTGATCTAAACTCCAAGCACTGTTCATAAACTGTACGTAAAAGATGGCTGTAGCTTCCACGTCTCAGTGTCTAATGACCAGCAGGGGGCGACTCCTGTGGTTGTGTAGAAATCTGCAGGAAAACGGCGCTTTATGATTGAACAGTTGCTAATGTATGAGCTTCACATTCAAATCCAGCTCTCACTGGATTAAAAAAAGATAAGAGTGTGACAGCCAAAACTCAAATTGAGGTTATCTCTTATAGTCTTGATACTGACACAATCAGCTACTAAACAAAAATGTGACCCAATATGACCTGTTAAAAGAAGTGAGAGTTGCATACCTTGTACAAGCTTTTGTTGCTGACACTATATCAGCACTGATTTATTATCATTACAAATCCTTTGACCATTTGGCATCACAAACACAGCATCAGGCCTTAACCTCATCTTTCATGAAGCTTTTATTTGTACAATGCCATAAGATACAAAGAGTCTGTTCACATATCATACAGATGTTTGAGTGCAGTAAATACATGTTGTCCAAAAGGTATTCCTACCAAGGAATGAGACATTAAAGCCGGACTAGACAATGACAAATCCATACAGCAATAACAGGAAACCGTCCACATGGAGAGGTCTTAACCCTCCAAACGTTAGTGTTTAAATATCTGACTACTCGTTTTGTTGTTGCGACAGATGCATTCACTAAGCAGCCTTTAAGCCTACTTTATAAGACTGGTGTTTTGTCTAGCTCACTGTAGAGTACTGGGACAACAGCTAACGGAGGTATGTATGAGTGTTGGCGTTACAATCCACAGAGACAGTCTGACATGGGCTGTCTGCAGCTCACTGACTGCTGCTGCTGCTGCTGCTAAAGAGCCGTTTCTGTTCAGTGCAGACCAGTGAACTGATGAGGAAGGAGCAGCTTGTGGCTGTTCCCACCTCAGCAGGCTGGCAGGAGGAGCCGGCGATGTAACGATGCCAACAGCCAGCACTGGCAGTGTTTTGATCATGATGTATTTGTTCCTACAAACTCTTTTTCAAACAGCCAGTGCAATGTCTGTCCCTACTGCACAAAGCTATTCTCCATTACTTCAGAGTGACACAGAGATTCAACCACAGCAAATGGAAAGAAACAGAACGAGGCGAATGAATTAAACTATTAATCCGGCACAGGTTATCTATCATTTACCTCTGCTAGACAACCACAAATTGATCCAATTTTATTTGTTCCTGTCAAATTAAGTAATGATTTAAGATTTTTTTTTTTTTTTGACAAAAACTCAAAATGCCTCATCTGTCCTCATACCAGTGCCTCTAAAGCTCATTTATTAACATGCTGCATCTTGTTTGTTTAATCATTAAAGACTAAAACCTGTCTATGGGAACATAGACTGTATATAAAAGATGGGCATAGCTTCGGGTTTAAAGAGAGCGCCAATGGATAAATATGTTAAATCTGAATTCTCATCCAGCACATTTTTAAGTACCTTTATTGTGAGTCAATGGTCTTAACTGTTAGCTGAAAACATAATGTTCATTTTGCAAATTATGGTTCCAATTAGTTTCCAGAATAACGATGAAGCGGTGTTTATCTCCTGTGCAACGGACACGTGGTTAACCAACGAGCAGATATGGCCTGCTCTCAAAACTGCTGGTTTCAAAAACGCTCATCTCATTCACTAACAAATGAGTGATGTCACAGTGGCTACTTCTTTCTTCTATAAACAGTCTTTGGGTTCCACCCCACCTGAATTTCCTCCACTGGTCCCGCTTCCAAACTGTCTGTTCATATTAATGGGTAGAAAATACGTGGAGCACAAAGGGGTTCAGATTCCATCTTTCAGGGAAAAACAGTTTTCTTACTAAATGTGTAACACTAAAACAAAGCACTCAAAAGCACCAGTCTGCATTATGTTAGCTTCATTCGTTTTCGGTTCAGTGCCCGGCAACAATTTGCCGTATTGCTGCATGGGAGCCAAATCTCCTAATCCATGTTGGTGAAAGCAGGTCAGTCCACAATTAAAATCATTATAACTCAAACATTAACCTACAGTTTGGTAGGTTTTGGTAGAGTTTTCTGATTTTCCCTTTAAAATTTCTGTATGTGACGCTATAAACATTATTGTCCAGCTTCCTTTTTTTTGCTGATCTGGTGTTTTGAAATGGTCTTAGTTCCCTTCACTCATTCTTTTTGATTACCCCATAAACAATGCAGCCAATTCGTTTAATGTGCCTCTGTTTCTATCCAGGAAAATGGAAAGTGTGGTAAACTCCCCGTGCAGCGTCACAAAGCTCGATAACATAGTTTCAGGCGATCAGTAATTGGGTGATGTTTGTGGCTTCACCGAGCAGCAGCACATGACACGTGAGACAAAACTGAGTAAAAATAGTCCTGGATGTATCGGGGACCTGGATTCCACTGACAGCACGAACAAATCAGCTTTTAGCACAGGGATGGTCGGGGTAGTCCGATCTAAAATTATTGTATAATTGTATTAAATCAGTCCAGTTTAAACTCAGCATTTTCTATAAGTCAGCATCAGTGAGCCACGCAATCAAATTTCACAGCCTAGCACAAGCACACAAGCACAAATTTAACTGAAATGCTGTCAGTTGTTTCCTACAAAGTTACAACACAGAACCTAACCAGAAAACTGGTTCTCCAGGAGAAAAGAAAAATGAGTGTATTGGGTCAGAGAAAAGACCTACTTTAGGTTAGAAATACTACAGGGAACACTCAGATCTGTGTCATGTAGGTGGAGGGAAAAACTCCACACTAATCTAGGCTGGTACACCCGAAAGGGATCGCCCTGCCACTTATCTCTTTCTATCACGATGTTCAGGTCTACAGCTGTGAGCCAGGAAGCTGAAAACTTTCAATGTCAGAACAAGATCTGGTCTGTTTGTGGGGAGGGGGGGGTTACAGTTACGGCTTTTGATAGGAATGTGTTACACTGCTACCGGAGAGCAACATAAATAATGTCTGCATAAAAGCCACATTATCTCCAAAACAATTTACACATTCATTCTGAATGTGGCAGCTGACGATTTTAAGAAAACACAGAACCAGGCTCAAGTTCACCACAGAAGCAGTACAGTGATACGTCTACGATTTTAGCTGCTTTGTTATCATCTGCATCTGCTGTTTTACTCTCGCGGCGTGCTTCAAAACAGACAAGAACAGGACAGGTACCCGCAGAGTCGCGGACTTGAAAAAAGCAGATTCAAGCTCTCTCTGTCTGCCGTCTATCTTGCCTCACGAGTATCTACCCTGTGTCCCAAAAAGAAGCAAAGGGCCCAATATGAATTCACCGTGAGTCACGCTGCATCACGAGTTTACATCTCTCCCTCAGCCATCTTTAGAAAACAATGACAGTAAGGAGTGAACACCAGGGGACGTTTGTACCGTGACCAGAAGGCAGAAGAGCGTGTTTCATGAAGGTGTGTGCATGTACATCTCAGAAGGCACAGTTCTCAGCCAGAAGATGTGCATGTGTGTGCTTTTGTGTGCACGTGTTTGTGGGAAAAAAATGGCAAATGGTAGCAGGTGTGTGTTGCCGATGGAGCAGCTGTAGGCGAGAGGATGTCCAGCAGCAGGACAAGGCACGAAAGCATGAGTGTACACGTGTGTGTGTGTGTGTGAGAGAGAGAGATAAAGAGTGTCCAGAATCAGCCACAGCAACACCAAAACATCCTGTAAAATCTGTTATGTGCAAAGAAGAAGAAAAACACTGAAATCAAGTACAATGACAATACAGTAATACACCAACGGAGCTCATATCAGAAGCACAGGCACAGCTTAAAGTGGACCTCTTATGCTCATTTCCAGCTCCATGTTTGTTGTGTTTTTATTCTTGGGCTCTCACAATAGCCTTTAATGATTTATAGCTCAAAATAATCTTTATTTATCATATACTGGGTCTTCAGCTTGCCACTGAAAACAACCAGTGTTGGCTCTTTTCCCTTTAAGCCAGCTTTCTTCTGATTAGCTGAGACGAACAAATTAGGCACAGACCCCCCATAACTGTCTGAAACTGGGTGATTAGAGCAGGCTGAAGCCTTTTTCACCTCAGTGCTTGAAATTTTGGCCATGTTTGATATGAGCATCCACTTCTGTAACAGTATATATATATATATATATATATATATATGACAGAAAATTAGGTAAAGCATAATGGGTACTCTTTAATCGTTCTCAGTAAGAATGTTGGTTAAAGTACATGTAAAATGTAAAACAGCTAATAAGAACATACCTCAGTAATAATGTCAGGGGATGATATCCCCGAAGTTATAACAACAATCTCGGAGAGATGTGATTGTTCTCTCACACAGGTCTTATTTCACATGGATGAAGCAGGTGCTGCAGAAGTTGGCGCTCACAGTTCCTACGCAGCTTCTATTGACAAATCTTCATAACCATTTTTAGGGGGGTGTCAGATTTGGTATTTTAACTCAGCGCATGCCACATTATGAGTCACTAAATACACGCTGACTCATAAAGAAAAATATTCAAGCTGTACCTAGCACTTTTCTCACAGAGCAGCATGCTCTATGAGTCTGTCTGTGCTGTTTGCCCTGGGTTAAAATAGGAAGGCCGGATGTGGAAAAATGTGAGATGAAACAAAACAAAAAACATAAAAACACTGCTGGTGAATTTTGGGAACCTCATAGGGCAACAGCGGCGACAGGGCCTGCAGAGGTTTTGTTTCTCTGTAAGCATATCCTGGAGATCTAACAGCCCAGCTCAATGCTTTTTCCTATTCGTAAAACATTAACAAAGCTGATTTAAACACAAAACAAAACAAAAAAACTAAAAGCCATCAGCAGGGAAAACCATTATATTACTACATTTTCTAATTTTAGATGTATGAAAACAGGACACGCTGCTCCATAATGTTGCCAGTGGTCAAAAACTCCACAGGATGCCTTTAACTCTGAATGTTGTTGGTTTCCTCATAAATATTTAATACTATTTTTGAAATATGTAAATTTGAAACTAAGTGTTTAGACCCTTTAAGTAATTTATGACTTACAGTTTGACAACTCACCACTGAATCGAGCCTGTGACTGACAGAAATATTATCAAAGAAATTTAAAGAAAATGTTAAAAGGGGCCATTAATGCTCATTTTCTGTTGTGGTTTCTGCTTGATTAGAAGTTTAAAAAATGTTTTCAATAATTTACCTTATACTGGCCCTTTAAATATTTCGAATTTCCCAGAGGAACCCACCCGAGGGATTAATAAAGTTCTATCTTATCTTATCTTATCTTAAATAGCCACCCAGCGCATCATCTAAATGAAACATTCTGGCCTCTTTGTTGTGATTGGCTGTCTTGCACCCTTGCCTTCTTATCTGGTTGTTCAGTGATGACGCGACGAATCCTACTTCCGGGTCTAAAGTAGTCTGCGTTTAATATGGCTTTTGTGTTGTTAACATGTTTAATGTTATGTATTTTCTTCTATTTGATCTCAAAAAGCTCCTAAAACAGTCAGTGATCCCTGTTGACCTCCCTCGGCTTTTATTACCACTAATCATTTATTTAAGCTCAGTTTTTTTAAAACCTTAGGAAGTAACTACAGCACAGCCCATGCAGCAGTATACGAATAACTAACCTCGTATTGTGGATGGATTATCTCAGTTGTTCTCCTGGCTGAAGTTTGGTCCTTTTACAGCATCCTGCCATGTGATTACATTTGTTCCTGACCACCGAGAACACTCACGTTAACTTTTATCGAATGGAAAAAAAGTTAGCTTGTTTATATTATGCTAACATAGCTGTGTCGCTAGCGGTCACATAGCACATCATTATATACCAGCTAGCCAAACTTCAGTAACCCTACAAACGTTACTGCTGTTTAGTTTTCTGTCTTCATTTATGCTGGAAGTGATAGCAGAGCTGTACGTTTTAATTTGTTTCCAAAACCCCGCAGTCAGGACATGCTATATTGTATTTAGATAGAAGCTAGCGAGCTAACTCCCTGCTAACTTCTAACTCCGTTAAATGTCATAAATTCCGTTTTCATGGATGCCTGGATGTTAAACTCAATTGTTACACCTGGTAGAGCAGAACGCTGATCATTTTATTAAAGATGAAAGACTTTAGACAGTTTTTCAACTCGCAGTAATGCCATAGTGATCGTTTGATATATGGACCTGCAGCGGAGTTTAGACCCAGACACGGCTAGTGACGTCAGACTGAACATCCGGATTGTAGGAAAGCCAGAGCTGTGGCTGACCATATAAGGAAATATGCACCAAGCTGACATCAGATAGACACAAGAGCAGAAAAAAACATTAAACTAAGCCTTTAGAACTGTGTGACATCTGGGATTAGAGCTCACAGCAGTTACTTTTATAGAAGCTTACCTTATTACTTGAAAATTTGGCAATATTTAATATGGGCATCCATATTTGTAACATTATATATATGAAAGAAAACAAAGAAAAGCACATAAAGTTTCAAAGCCACAGCTCTCAGTACAAATGCTGCGTTTACGATAATGATTCAAATCAGTATAACTGCATTAGGTGCGAGTGAAGAGCGAGTTGAGTTCGCTCTGCCAGTTTTTCTTCATGTTTTACAGACCTGCGTAGGAACCCTGAGTACCTTTCATTTTCAGCCTCCACCTCTTTATGACCACATCTCCAAGGATGAATTTACAACCTCAGCTTAAACCAAATACTTTCGCGCATCTACCTCTCCTCTAGAAATGGTCTAGCAGCACATCCTAAACTATCATTTGCTTGTTTTCTTGTTAAAGACATATCAACTAACAATGGCGAATATCACAAGTAAATCACTACTACTTGATGGTGACAGAAACACTTTTTTTTCTGAGGTGATCCTGTAAATCCCTCAAATCAAACAAAGCTAAGCATGAACTCTGCGTTCTGCGGGGGGTGGGATGTCATCACGATGAAAACAACGGGACAGGATGTGCAGTTTTATGGCAGAGAGGTCAAGTGTAAGGCGACTGGTAGCTCCGCCCCCTCCAGACACAGCTGAAAGTTTTAATTGGTTGAAGAGGGACTGGAGCTAGTGGTTAATGATGCTGAGCTACTTATGAGTTAATAACTCTAATATCTGGTGGAGGTTTCTTTCACTCCATTAAATGGGCCTTAATTTGGGATGAAGTGCTCTGAACAGTTTCTAACTCCACTGAGGTGTGGGAGGTTGCCAGAAGTCTTAGCTTCTCCATCTTTTCCAAACCAGAGCGGTGAGTTTGAGTAGCACTGTGCAAGCGGCTGCACATAAACAGCAGCGACGCGACGCCTTCTTCGTTTTCTGCTTCTCATGCCGGCTTTGTCAGTCTGTTTCTACAAGCCCCAGCTCTTTGTTTTTAGTCCTCTTCTCCCAAATTAGACCTGGACAGACCACATGAGGATTAAACTCGGGGCCCAGACACCAGCATGCCTCCATCCAAACATAAAATCCCCGGAGATGGGCTTTTGGCCTCACCACAGTCAAAGCGTCATTCTCCCAGAACATTTCCTCTCCGAGTCTGAATGTGAATAAAGGCTGCAGCAGGGGCCTGTGGTTGTTGTGGCATTTAAAAGCAGGATGCGGTGCTAGTGCTGCAGTAATCTTTCTGAGTCAGAATGGCTGAAAGGCAAAAGTCTCCATTGTGCTTCTGTGGGTCAGCTGTATGGTGCTAATGCCTTGCTGAGACTGTAAGGACTCTGGGGACTTTAGAGGACAGTCATATACTATAAACCCAGAGCAATCACGCACTGTCTTATAAGGAACCATTTTACAACCCATCACTGTCAGACAAAGTCCTTATAACACTGTCTTCTCCAGTAGAAACCACATAAATATGAGTTTACAGTGAAAATTGTCAAGATTTGAGAAGAACAACTGTTTATGAAGTGGCCTTTTAAGTTCTGGCGTCCTTTAAATGTCCAACATTACACTTTTGCGTCTGCAACCTCAGCCTTTTCTGAAGGTCTGTACCTAACAAGGGGAACAACAAACAATGTAGAACAACATTTCTCTAGACGCTGACCGTTCAGCTTCTGTCGTCTTTTCAGTACATATGATGGCGTGTCTCTGTTATTTATTGAGGATTAGGTTGTCATCCAAGGTGAATATTTCCTCTGGATTTAGTCCAAAAGTGGGACATGTTTTTCCTCCGTTTCCTTCTCCAGCATCCTCCACGCTGCAAACAAAGTCAGTATTTATTGTCATTGGTTAGGTTTTCCTCCATGGGCCCTCATACCTGTGTTTGTACTGTCCTTTGCCTTGACTTTCAGTCCAAACGCAGCCCACGTGAAATCCTGAGCCTTTTGCTTCTAATTTGAGGCTCAACTCCCACTTTTAGAGCAGCGAAAAGAGTCACGTTGGATCTACACAATAGTTGTTCGTAGCTACTTAACAGATGCGACCTGCAGCTCAACAGAAGGCATTCATTTAATATGAGGGGAAAGTGAACGGAGTAAAGTGTTGAGTACCAACTGTGATCACTTTGTCTCGTCTTCCGTAGCCATTTGCCATTTATTTCAGCTGAGAACCTAAACTTGTGCAGGCAAGTGAAAGCAAAAACATGATGTAAGCAGCCTGTATAGTGTCTGTTTGCTGAACCAGCCCTCTAACACTAAACTTTAGATATATGCAGGTTGGTTTGCTGGTTATTTTCCAGGAAAGACTGTGATTTTGCCGGCTTTGGCCAGCCGCTCAATGATCTGGGCTTCGTAGTCTGCGTCGTGGACGCCGGTCTTCCTGAATTCTCCGGAGTAGCGGTTCTGTTCCCAGTAGTGGTGCCAGTTTCCACGGCTGTCTGCACCGAAACCAAACACGTTCACCTAGAGGAGAGCAGAAGTTAAAACAAGACATATGACACAAGTGCCACGTTGATGCAAATGCAGAGAGAGAAAGAAGAAGAACAGACCTCATCACAGACGTGCAGAGCAAAGAACAGCACTAGCATCCCAGTGGAGGGGTAGCGGCCATGATGTCTAGTCCAGCGGTCGTGGATGTATTTAAAGAATGCTGGGTTGAAGATCTGGACCTGGGTCATGGAGGGACATGTAGAGAAAGGGAAGATACCATAAGATAAAGTCTTATTCACTGTGAAATCAAAGCAAAAGTCCTACAAGAAAACTGTGGAATTTCTTGTTTATTTAAAAGCACCGCCTCGGGCAGCGAGACCTGCAGACCTCTGCTTCAACTACAAAGCCACATCGTTCCAACTTGAGTAAAATTCAAGCTCATTCCTCATCAAAATGAAGGTTGTTAAACAGATGTTTGCACTTTAACACAGGGAAGATAACCCCGTGCATATTATAGACGCTGCATATTCCACCGGTCCCACAGAACAAGTTAAATTTTAATACTCCCTGCAGTTCTGATCACTGTGAAAGATTCAAGGACTTCTTAAGGGAATGAATGGTAATTAGAAATTTATCATCTACCTCTAGGTGATACTCAAGTCTGCAACAAACTGGGCTTAGAGAGGCTGCTTAGAACCCCATTTACTCTCCCACCCCACAGTGGGGGAGTAAGTCTTTTAAATCTATAATTTTGGGTCGGCCACAAAGATGCTGCAAACATTTTTTTTTAAATAAATTAAAACTGAGTCTCTGACCAGGCGAAGATATTTGCCAAGTCTTCACATGACAGGGATTAGTCTGAGTTTATTTATTTTCACGGATTAAAAATACCCAAAAACGAGCAGATTAGTGAAAACAAAGGAAGGGTTTATAATCTAACTGGTAATCCTTTCATCAACAATGGAATGGGGAGCGAAACAGTTGTTGTGTGTGGGTGTATGTGTTTGTGTGTGTGAGTGTGTGTGTGTTTGTGTGTGTGTGTGTGTGTGTGTGTGTGTGTGTGTGTATGTATGTGTGTGTGTGTGTGTGTGTGTGTGTGAGAAGATGGCCAAAATTAATTGCACTCAATGAAAATACATACCTTGTCTTTATCTACTCGGAGGAACTGCTTCACTGGAGCGTAAGTACTGAGAGGGAGAGAGAGAAATTGATTGACTACATTCAATCAGCACTTTATGTGATTGCTGGAGCTATGAATTCTGGATGATTGACAGCTGGCAGATTGTTCCACCCCAAAAACTCTCTGGCTTCTCACATCTCCACTCCACGTGTCAGTGCATGTGTGTTAAGAAAATTTTATTTATTCCCCAAAGATACTCTTCCGTGTGTCTGTGTGCCCTGAAGTCAAATGGCAAGTTTCAACATCCCTGTGCTGCAAGCAGTATTTGACATGTCTTAATCCATGCTTATGCATATCTGCGTGCACGTGTCTCGTCTTACAATCGAATCTGGCCCGTGGACAGAGCGCTGGTGATCCAGACCAGATCCAGTGTTTTGAAGGGAACGAGCACGAAGCTGACGTTGGCTGCCAGGTTTTTGGCACTCTCTGGGTACATGAAGTGGTGAGTGGTGTGGCTGCCCGCGTCTTCCTCGTAGCCCACTGTGGGTGCCAGATTTATCCTAGGAGAGAGTGTGATGGGGGAACAGCGTGAGAGATGAACATCATCAGGTCACAGGCTGTTAGAAATTGGTGTGTGAGGCCTTGGGTTTTACCTCCAGCTGGACTCAAACTGGTGCCAAAGTACCTTCACATGGATTTAATTTCACACTGACTTGCCAAATTCCTGATGCAATTCCTGCTCATGTTGCTGGAATCAATTTCTTGAAGAATGACTTCATGACCTCATAGAGTTCAATATAGATACTAATTTTGGCTATTATGGGTCTATGGCAGATATATTGGTATACAGATATCAGCTTGCGTGTTATTCAGCAATTTTGTAACTGATAAAATAAGTTTGAGAGCAAACAATACAGTTGTTTAAAATGTGCTTAACTTAAATAAAGTAAAAATAAAGCATGTCATAAAAGAAAATGGGCTCAGTTTGTCACACTTTACAGCTGAGGTGATTTCAGTGTTTCAGTGTTTTGCTGCTGAATGCAGTTTGATTCAAGGTCACACAAACAAGTTCTTCACCTATAGAGCGTTGTTCTCAGCGACTGTTTGTTTACTTGTTCTCTACATCATAGCACAGCTCCCATAGCAGTGAAAACACTTTACGTTTATCACAGTCACACTGTATCAAGTACACATATGCAGCGTATACAGTAATGTATATTATATGCAGGAGAATCAGTCAGACAGTAACTAATCGCTCAGCTGCGTTTGAGCCATTCATTGTATTTACAGTAGCTGTGACTCACTGTCTGGAGGAGTGATCCGTTTATGTAAACAGTTGGTTGCACTTGGAATTAAAAAGGTGGCTACTGACTTCACCTTACCATATGCCAGTGAACAAAACAGATGTTGTTCACACAGCAGGAGTTAAAAAGCATGCAGACAGGCGGTGGGTGGTGATAGTGAGGGGGACTTATGTGGGTCAAGCTGGTTGAAAAACAAATGAAAATCAAAGCACAGCATTAAGAAATCGTAGCAGGAGATGGAAGTTGCAGGCTGCCCACACGGGTCTATTGAGAATGCAGCTCTAATGGATTCCATTGCCTATAGCAGGCAAAAACACATTATATCAGTCACTCCTGCTGAGTGTTTCATGGCACCGGCATGTGTCCTCGACACTAACTCGCGCGCAGTGCAGGAAACTACATATAGCTGTGCTCATGAGCTGGATTGTTTAAGAACAATCAGGCTTTGTGATCCGTCAATGCGGCTCGGAAACAGCTGGGGAGCAGACTGACACAAAAGGATTTATGTGCCTCTGTGCATGGGCGTGTGTGTGAGACAGAGACGCAGCCTATAAGTTCAAATGTCTCGGGACACAAACGCTGGGATTACTTTTGCTATCGCACACATATCTGCTGTTTGCTTCTTTGTAAGTACACCTCCCCATCCTGTACACACATGCACACACAATCTAGATGGCTATGATGATGGAACTTTAATGGCACATACTGAGCGGAGTGAGAATACAGTGTAATCCCCACATAAACTCTTTTTTTCTTCTTCCCTCCAGCTGTCTCCCTCCTCTCCTCTCCCTCCTTCACCTCCAAGCTTTGGTCTTACAGCATAATTTTACTTCTTTGAGTCGTGCTTTTATCTAATAGTGCCCTGCATCCACTCTGTTTTGTCTTGCTCTGCTCATCTATCCGTTGCAGCCGTCTCTCTCACCTCATAATGTAGTTGTGATCATCAATGGTTGCGCCATATCTGGCCCCGCGAAGGTTCCCGGAGTTCCCCACCACAGCGCAGCGCAGGCAGCGTCCCGGATCCCACGAGCCGTACGGCGACCTTCCGGGAATCACCTGTGATAAACAACCATGATTAAATCAAGCAGACTGGACTGAAGCTACGGAGGAAATTAAATACATCACAAATACACATAAAACGACCTAAACTGCAGCTCAGACCTGACTGTGAAAATACATGCAGCTCTCAATATTGGGGTGAATTCTTTATGAGAATCTCCATGAAAAATACATGAACCACTTCAGCCCTAAGGGAGCCAGACTAAACCTACATCCTTATGGGAAAGCACTTTAAGTGCTTTGAGAGTCCGAATATAAAAAAGCCATACGGACGCGCTGGAGAGGAATGAGCCAGGTTTGAGATAAACCAAATGTCAAATAAAGACAATCTGCTCCCCCTCCACTCAGTCTTTGGACGGAAGTCTGAATTAATGACTTGGCTGATATGAAAGCACTACGGCAAAGGAAAGATGAATTAATAATATAAAATACCTGGAACAACCTCAGCAGCACCTGCTGGATGCTGTGGGGTTTAAACTGGGGCTGTAACATCTAGAGAGAGAACAAGAGAGAGAGAGATAGTTAGGATGTGTAGTTTCTCCTCTGCAGACAAATCATATCTGACAAGAGACTTTAAATTTAGTTACATTCTGTGTGCCCGTGTGTATGTGTATGCATGCACTCGCCTGCATTCAAGAGAAAATAAGCAGATGCTTGTGCCTAAGTGTGTGCGTGTGTGTTTAGGTAACAGCTACGTGTCAGACTGACAGGATGCAGTCAGACTGTGGTCAAAGGAGCTGAGGCATTGCCGTCCACATGTCAAAAACAAGCAGAGTGAGAAAATATTTTTTAAAAAGAAAAGAAAGCAAAGGTTGTTTCAGAGTAAATTATTTTAAAAAAAGATTTGGTAAATGTAAAGGTGCACAGAAGAGAAAAAATAAGATCTAAACATAGCTCAGAGAAAGATGAAGAGAGGAGGAGAGTGATACAATAGGTCGCTCTTAAGCTAGCTGTCTGTCAGAGGATTAATGGATAAATAACACCATAAATGTGAAGCTACTGGTGTTTTACATTGAAAAAAAAAAACACCCTCAGATTAAGTTCCTGCCTTTGGCTACTGTGAAAATGGGTTTAATGCATTGTTCATCAGCTTGTCAGAAAACATGAATAATAATCTAAGCGCTTTAGCTTAAACAGAGTCCATTATAATTTTAATGAGGAAGGTCACTTAGAAAAAAATAAAGCACGGCACCTCACAAAATTACCATACTTAAAAGCTCCACCATTTTACAGGGCACATTTGAAATGAGCACAGAAGTATCAGTCTACCCTCTGACCTGTGGCTGCTGACTTTTGAAGCCGTTTTAATGTGAAGCCTTAATAGCTTTTAAACCGGTGAACTTTAAAAAGCGCTTAAACCGTCTTGGCATGTTTGTCCTCATAATAAATTATGGCATTTCAACACATGAGACTATGGTAAGAGACCATGGGCGTGACTACTTCTTGAGTCCTTGAGCGTGCAAACTAGTTTCATCTATAGGCGAAAAAAGTAACAGCAGCACCAGCAGAACAATCTGGGTGTCACCTGCCACATGTGAAAATATTAATTTCTTGGTAAATGATTTGGTAAATTTCACTTAATCAAATACTTAAAAACAAAAAGCGCCCCTCCAAACACTAACCAGATTTCCATCAACCTCAGCTCTGCTTTGGTTTAATGGTAATTTTAAAATGTTAATTGCTTCCAGCATGTTAGCATCGTGACATTAGCATTTAGCTCAAAGCATTGCTGTGCCTAATTATAGCCTCTCATTGTTGCTAGCATGGAGGCACCCTTCATTTTTAAAGCTTTAACTCACGAAATGCCCGTTTTTTAACTTATCCTTTAACTTCAAAGCTTTCTTGGGCAGGCACCAGTCGCTTTACATCGACAAGTGATCTTAAAGGGCATGAAGTATATTGAAGCCACATTTTTACAGTTAAGAAAAAAAAATATTGTTTGCTTTATTCATGTCAGTAAGAGTGTTTTTCATTTCTCTGGATCACGGTTTGAGTGCCCTTTTGTGGTATGATGATGCTTACCAACTAACAAACAGAAGTTGTCCAATTAAGAGGCAAAAAATAAATCCTGGCTCATTTGAGCATCTGCCAAACCACACAGGCAAATGTGCAATCATGCGTGAAAAGATAATACAAGCACCTGCACAAATGTAAAAAAAACAAAACAAAACAACAACCCATAAACAAAGAATGCAGTTTATGGCATCCTATGGATATCCATTGGGGTATTGGCAGCTGAAGCATGGCTCCTCCTATCCATAACCATCTTTTCTCTGTCTCTCCCACACACAGCAATCTTCATTTTCACACTCCTTTGTCACCCCTTCCTTTGCACCCACCAGTGCCCTTAATTCGCTTCTTCCAACACAGATCTCAGTCTTCAAGATTTTCATTCATGCATCTTCTCTATCAGCCTTTTTGCCCGCATGTCTAACTCCTGCTCTTTAACTTCCCCTTTCCGCTCTGCCTTACTGCTGCTCCTCTTGTCTATCTTCATCTCCTTTTCTCTCTGGGTTGCTTGTGCACGAGGCAGATCATAAGCCCTGATCAGAGTCCACTAATCTTTCTTTCACACCTTCTGACTTTGTTTCTCTTGCTGTTGCCTCTCTGCTATTGTGTCTTTGTCTCTGTTTTTTCAATCCTCCTTGATCCATCCATCCCTTTGCCTTCCTCGGTCTCTGACTGCATACACGATGCCAGAGCCAGCTTGGCATTCGATACCGCTGTTGTTCAGGGGCTACTAATTTTTGGCGTTTGTTTTCTGGCAGCATAGCTGGATGCTGTCGAGCTTCCTTCATGTCAGCCGTCTTCTGACTCCCAAAGTTTCCTGGCAACTGCATCCAAGGAACTCTAATTTTTCTTTTTCCATTGAAACAAGATTTCACTGCTGTTTCCAGAAGCCACATCAGATATTTAAAATTAGCCCTGTTATAAAATTAGAGACAGATGCCCAGTGTGCAAATTTTAAAAGAAATTGTAAAATTACCTTAAAAAGTACAATTATAACATTGGAGAGTTTGTGTCTACAGCAACAGACTGAAATGCTTAAAATGTTTCTTTCACTGCGTGCTTGCATTGTGCCTCTCCTGAGGCAGGAGTACACATTTGCACATTAGGTTTGATTGAAGAGGTCCAATCACGAATACGCATTAATCGCTTGTTTTCATTTCTTTATAGCGCTGCTATTGGATTTGGGAATAAAAGAAAGTCGACCAAACAAATCAAATAACAAAGGAGAAGTGGTTTTTTTCACTGGTTGCATCGGGTGCATAGACTTCCCATAACAAATCACTTTTGGACTGAAGAGGTTCTCTCAGAAGAAATAAAAGGAGGTAACTGACTAGGGAGCAGCTACACAGATGATCCCTACTGTGAATTGCTGAAGTCTGCCTCATAAAAGTCTTTACCAGGAAACAATGTCTTTTTCTGTTTTCTGATTCCCAAATGCAAGGACTGTAAGTCATCCTTACTTTACATTACAGCGCTCAAAGATAATACTAGCTCGAAACACAACCATATAAACAGCAGGCAAGACACTAGACAGCAAGCCATTATTACTCTTGAGGTCTGTGGCCATTCCTCTCTCCATTCTCCACCCAGCCATCCATTAATTCCTGTTAAGTTAAAATGGATGTATTGATTAGAGAGTGGAAATCTGCTGACTGCAGTGTGAGAGAATAAATATTGTGTAGTTGCTAAATAAGGCTTGCCTTTTAGGTTTGATGTCAATTCTTTTGAAAAAGTCAGAATTCACGCATGACTCAATTAAAGACTCTGGAGTATGTCTGCGATTGTAATTCTCAGCAAATTTCCGCACAACTAATTCCAGCAGTCCAACAATTCTTGACTGTGATATGCAGGGTTTCTCTTTTCAAACAGATATAATATTCTAATTAAGTTCTAGTCAAGTTTTTATTCTCCGCAGTACCCTCTGCAGGAGAGGCCGCATGAATTTGAATGTAATTATTTACATGCCTTGTGATCACTCTGGGCAAATTGTTAAGCTTCATTCAGGGTGCTGTGACATTTTTCTACTCTAAATTTATGCAGACAACACGTAAACTGGCACTTTTCACTGTGTCTGCAGTAATTCAGAAACAAGGACAGCTGCCTGTCTACAACACTTATCTCTCCAAAGCCTGGTGAGTTGTCTTTGCCTTCATAGGAGGCTAATAAATATAATTTACATTATGTTCATTCTTACAATATTTTAAGGAACATTCGAAATTTAGAGAAAATATGGAAACTCTCTATGAAGTTTCCAAATTTAAATGTTAAGGTATTTTAAGATAGGTAGAGTCCTCCCTATTAGCATTAGCAACGATTTTAACATATCTGCCAAAACTACACTCCAGACCTCAAGTTAAGGGGTCTTCAAGGTCAGGATTTCATGGTGCCAAACAAACACACAAGGTATATGCTATATATTAGAAATCAAGCAATAACAACATTACATACGTGGTGTAATCAACACAAGTCGTTCATTAAAATGACTGCCTACAGTGGTCAAGCAATGTGACTTATTGGAAGTCCATTAAAAGCAGATGATTACATTTCTGGACTAATTAAATTCAGAAACCACATTTGATATAATCAAATTAATATAATTTAATATAAATGTATTTTAGATCTGCCCATTCCTTTCCTATCCACTCCCTCCCCCACGCCAGTTCATCACCACCCTGTTACCCTGTGTGACCTAATGACTTGGCAGCTGTTGGCCTGTGTTTGCAGTTTTTTGCCATTTCAGAGCTTAGCTGAGGATTCGGCTTTGAAATAAGAGTCTAACCCGGCCACTGAAGGACACTAAACTGGATGACACTTACTGCAGATGCACACAAACACATTTGCACTTAGTTTTGAGTGGACATAGAGAGACAACGCATGTACGTAAATAGTTACAAATCAAACTAAAAGGAGGCATTTACATAATGATCCTTTAAGTGCTTCCTGTCTCTCACACTTGACTAAAAAAAAAAACTCATTCTGGGGTTTGTTTATTTTTTTTTACACATTACTATAAAACATTTTAAGGAAAACCCAGAGGCCAACCTTGTTTATTTGTTCCACTTTTCCACAAATACCATCACATATGACTGGCAGGGATACTTGAGAAGCATGTAGGACTTGTAAGAGGGGGATTGGTTGGCTCAGAGGTGAGGCAGGATGAGGAGGACAAGATTATTATGTGTTACTCCCCCTGTGTTAGTGTTCTATAAACTTATGTCTTCCATGTAACTTGCAGCTCCCCACGCTCTCTATATACATAAATAGAAAGTGCTTGATAGTGCTCCAGACAGTGGCACAAAGTTATTTTTGTGTACTGTGGTTCAGAGGAGAATGATGCTATATGCTGTAGTATAATACATGATCTTATTATTGTGCTTTGCTTTATGAAGTTAGAAACATTAAATTACCCAAACTCAGTCTGCAGATTTAGTGTGAAGTATGCAAACCAGGTGTTTTACTCCAAAACAAGTAACTAAACCACATATACAAAAAACGCAGCATAGCATTTATAAGTAGAACTTTAAATTTCTGATTTGGAAACTTCTACAATTTGCATGAACTTGTGGTAGCATGCACTGGATACCAATTTCCCTTCCAGTCAGGGACATCTGACCCTGGAACACTGAGATAAAGGGCTAAGAGCTCAGACAGGCGGTGGAGAACTTATTGCCCTTACTATTGCTGGATTTTTTCATGAATAATTATGAAAGTGAATTCAGATCCTGGCTTTAAATTATTTAATTGCTCACATGTAAATATACCAACAATCAAATGAAACCATTGTAAACATTATAAGTTTACCTAATGAAGTTGTTTTAAAGACTGTATGACACTGAGGGTTTCTGCCAGGAAAACTGTGGCTGCTGTAACTCGTGGAGGGATAAGTCGGCATTTTAATGAACACAAGTGAATGAATAGCTCAAGAATGGACAAAGTATGACTTCATAACATTTCTTTCTGGTTCTTTATGACTACGTTTTTAAAAAACAATCATTTAAAGTATTTTTACATGTGTGAAAACAAGACCGGTATGCTAATAAGACACATTAACTAACTTAACAGCTGTAGCATTTGTTCTAGTGCTTAGGAGCAGTGGGAGATTTAGCTCTGGCAGGCACAAACCCTGCTAATATTAACATCACATTGTATCAATCACGTATGGACAAACTATTCTGTTTGTATGTTAATTATAAAGCCAGACACTTAACATAACAACAGGAAGCAGTGGAATCAACTACGCAGGCTGTGTTCAAAATTCAACTAAAAGTTCATTAATCTTAATCTTATATCTTGCATGTTTATTCTATAATGGTTTTACAAGGGATTATGTGCTGTCACTTAGAAGGGGGCAAACAAACTAACACGATAACACCTGTTAATCAGTGAGCTTTAGAAGAACTGCTAAGAAGATTTTGTTTACTTTGGAAATGCCATGCTGTCTCCAGCCTTCCAGTCTTTGTGCTAAGCTGACACGCTCTTGGGTAGAGCTTAATATTTACCGATTAGGAGCAATAAGTATATATGCAAAGAAGCTAAGCTATTGAACTCGTAGTATATTGAGGGCATAGGCTCTTTGCTTTATTCGAATATTGAGAAAAAAAAAAAACATCAAACAGATGTCAGGAACAAAACAAACTTGCACATGTAATAATGCGTCACCACACCTAATATAGTACAGATTTACAAAGATGTAGGAGCCCTGGTTGTGGAGGTTATTAATTTTCCAGACTTTGAGATATGTTACAATAATTTACTGCTTTAGCTGATGTGAAAAAAACAAAACAAAAGAAAAACACTCCAGACTGTTACTAACTTACATAACTTTAGAGATTAAAGTTACTTACCACCCACCAGTAGTAGACATCAGAGGGTAACTGCATGTTGTCTCTTGTCCAAACAGGAGAGATATCCGGGTCGTAGTTTTCATCGAACCAATCAGAAACTCCAGGATCCCCAACACAGCGCGGGCAGGCACACGTCTTCTGCTGTGGGGCATCAGGTGATGACAGGCGGTGCGCACCCATGTAGCTGGGCACGAGCTTCACACGCCGTGACTCTTCCCACCCGGGTGGTTCCAGGTAGTTGAATCCGACGCCCCCGCGAAGGGACACGGACAAGAATAGGGAAGTGAGAAAGATGAGAACCAGGGAGCCGAGGAGAACCCAGATTCTGCGGGAACATCTCACTCTGCCTCCTTTCTCTGCTCCACCTCCTACCCCAGTACTACCTCCACCTGTAACCATCCCTCCACTTAACCAAGGCCTGAGCTCTGAGATTCTGGGAGCTCCCCTGGATGCGCCCCCGCTCCAGGACCCCCAGCCCCAGCGTCTGTCCCGGTGCAGGGTGGAGGACGGTATGCGGCCCCCCCAAGGCCATGTCCCCACCCCTGGGCCTGCCACTGTCCCCAGCCCACAACTACCTCCTCCTCTTCCTCCTGTGCCTCCACTAAGCGACCACCACGGTCTGGTCACAGTGACTGGGACGAGCCCCTGGCTGCCAGTATGGACCACACAATCACTCCCTTTATCGGTCTGTCAAAGACACGCACAAACACACACACAAAAATACAAAGGATAGTGTCAGAGTCGATCTGTCTCACAGTCAAGCTGTTCGCTCACCGGAGCTCCTACGCTTTCTCTATGTCTCCCGCTGGATTCTCTCTCTAACTGCTCCACAGCCATGCACTTGTCTCACACACTGAAACGCCTGAACAGACACGAACACACACACACACACACACAGGAGTCGCCGCTGAATCACACACAACTGGAGCCAGACTGCTTCAGAGGTCCTTTGTTTTCAGTGTGAGGTGATCTCTCTTTCAGCTTCGAGTACAATCCCAGCGTATTTGCACCTTTGTATCTTTCGTCCACTCCCTCCTCTTTTGAACTTTATAACTTTCCCTTTCCTGGCTTCCTCTGTCTGGATCTCTGTCACTTTTCCCTGCCTCTTTTTAATTGATTAACTGCAGTATCCATCGTCAGTGAAATCCAACAGCTGGATGCGGCAGGTCTTTCTCGTTTCCTCTGCCATCTGTGTGAATGTTGAGCTTGGCCGCAGCGCTGTGCTTTCTCTCTCCCTCCGTCTCTCTGTTTGCACTGAAGCGACGTAGCCAAAGACAGCCAGCAGACTAGTCGAGAGCGGTGGAGAGAGGGAGGGAAGAAGGAAGGAGGAGCAGCAGAAGGGAGGTGGTCTGTCCTGAAGGGTGTTCCATCACTGCTCTAGCCACCCTTGACAATAAAAAAAAAAATCCAGTTTTTCCTTTATTTTCTTCCTTTTGTCTTTCTATCAAGTTTCACCTCGCCCAGTGTCACCCTCTTTCAAGGTCTCTAGTTTTTTTCTTTTACCTTTTTCACTCCATTGTCTGAATCTGCCACTGAGGAATGCTGAGCTACTTGACTGAGAACAACTGCGTTAAGATTAAAGCTCTCCTCTGATGTGGCTCTTCTTTACGCTCTCCTCAAACACAACGTCTTAAAAGTTAGTATAGAAAGTTTCAGTTCTTTGTGTGTTATGATGAAATTGTAATGAAAAAGAAGTGTATAAAAAAGAACCCTTTGCGATAGTTTTCATCACACGCTGTAAAGGAATACAGCATTTCCTTCTATCACCTCACTGATGTTTCACCAATTTGGCATCCACAGTTCAGAAAGAAAAATCAGTCAAGAAGTCCTGTCACTGTTCATTTCAAACTGGTACAGATGTCAGATTTTTATGATGACTATTTGTCCATGGATGAGGCTGCGCCGTGGAAAGGCGAAAGTGGTGGATGGAGTGAGGCGCACAGGGCGTGATGGAAAAATAGACAAAACCAATCAGCCCCAAATCTCATCTTCTCTCTAGCTGGCTTTGAGAGGATGACGGGAGGAGGGGAGGGCGTAGCATCTGTCCTCTACCCCAGACTATGTGTGTATGTGCACATCTTTATGCCTGTGATTTAATGTGTGTATGGTGCAAAGCTAGGTTTGCACACCGTCTGCCAAATGCACTAATTTAATTGTGTTCTACAGCTGTGCCAGTGAGTGTGTGTTTGTGTGCAGATGTTTTTGTGCATGCTCTGTTGGCTAGAAGCGTGAGTTTCATGGGGCTGGTGAGCTTAAGGTGGTTGCTGCTTAGCTCTAATCTGTTAAACTGTAATCTAAGGTTAGGACCCCTGCAGCGCCCACTTTATGCCAGCTGTCTACCCTGCTCATGTTCGTTAGATGCCCTAAAAACACCTGCTTTGCTCACCTGCAGAGAAAGTTATGCTTCTGTATTTCTAAAAAGCAGATGTTAATGTCTAAGTGTCTCTGGATCTTTAAACTGCAAATCATTGGTTCCAGCAAAGCTACGAAACTGGTTATTTCATGATCAAATGTCCGTATCTGGTTTTGTGCAGTGTGTCATAACTTTTAGCTCCCATGTCCAACAAGAAGTTTCACTTCCTCTTCAGCTGGAAGACCTGGAGAAACAGAGAAATAGGGATAAAAGAACGCCATTAGTCTCATTAACCGCATCGATATCTTTAATCTTCCTCTTTGATCCACTCACTTCAAGCCATCTCATTTAACCTCTTCCTTATTTCTGCTTTCTCTTCTCCCTTTCTTTTCATTCTTACTTTGATTCTGCTCTTCTTTCGTAATTTGTCTTTCAGACATTCACTCACTACAGACAAGGGCGAACATTTGGGGAAGGGGGGGACGAAAGACTTGGTGTCCCCTGTTTCTGAGTGTCTTGATTGGAAGTGAATACATTTCAAAATGTCACTATGCTGAACTGGAAATGCTGAAACAGACTGACAGCATACAGATTGAAAGAGCGGGGGCAGAATACTAAGCAGAGAAACAGGCCCCTCATATAAACAAACTCCTGTCATATCGGCTGTCTTCTGTGTTTATTGCTGCTGTACTGGATGATCGCGCATCTGTGGCACATTTACTAAGCTCAATATAAAATGTCAGGTTGCACAATTTTGCATCACAGCAATATTTCAGTGTAGATGACTGAGAGAGAGACAACTGAGGCTACAGACTAATTAAGTCCTGCTCATTAAGGTTTAAACTCAGTGGGGTGTTTGGACACATTTCGCCCGTGTCTGGGAAATGACACAAAAAAAGCACAATAGAAAGTGTTTCTTGCTGGCGGATTGGTTAAACAAAAATATTTTTAGAACTGCAATGTTTATTCGTCCTGTAAGAAGGCGGCTGCATGAGGAAATGTGAGTTAAACTGCCTAACGTCATTGGCTCTACAGAAAGATTAGCAACTGAATAATCACTGTGGGGGATTTTGGTTAAGCTTTTAAACTCTTGAGTTGATTCTTGCTGTAAACAACAATGATAATAATATTGAAAATGATAATTAAAAGACACTGGACTGGACTTCCAGATGAGTACTTTAAATTAAGGCAAGAATGCAATTTAAGAAGGAAATCAGAACGGAAGCCACATCACATCTGTCGTATTGTTGTCGTGTTCATTTTCTGCCATTTCACACGCTAAGCCTTCAGTGGATTAAAAAATCTAAAATAATCAGCAGTGTAATCGGCAAGTGGTAGCTGGAGCCCCTCTCTTGCATTTTCTCAAAGCCAAACCTTATAGCGGTTCATTATAAACAAGGAGGGACATCATTTGGGAAACGAAGGGCTGCAAATTCTTATTGCATATCCCAATATGTAGTTGTGTAGTGGAATGCTCTCCTCTTTGTCACCTTTAATTATAAGGATGTGATAAATGGAGCAAAGCTTGCTAGCCAGAGTGAAGTAAGCAACACATTTAACCTGCTCACTCTAGTCACATCATATACCAAACACAACCTCCCAATTTGGCTGTCTATTTAAGCTGCACACTTCCCACCTCTCCCTGCATCTCTGCCTGCTGTTTCAACCCCTCCACTGCCCCAGCATCCATTTGTCGGCTTCAGGGGGGACATTTACTCATCTCTCCCCAATCTTATGTGTAACATGTGCGAGGAGAGATGAGCTCGGAGCCTAGACACCGATATCTGACTACTTCTGCTGTAATAACTGAATCATTTGAGGTTATGAGCAGTCTGACTGAAGTAATTATATGATGTGATGTGTGTCTACTTCTCTTTTGTGCCATCAACCTACCAACACACCCACCGAGCAGCCAACGATCATTTTCCACTACTCTATTTTTGATGCATTGCCATGGCAGCCAGCAAGTGATGCAGAGTTGTTACAGCAACACAAACCAGTCCCCAACCTTGACCCGTCTAATCAGTGCAAGAGAACTAGGGCAGACTTTGGTTCCAGTTGACATAATTTTTCTTTCTTGTTAAGTTGCATTTCTATATTTGCTGTATACGTCCACATGCTTCTGTGCTAGAACTTTTTCATCTTATTTTATAACTTGGTCTTTTTATTTTAACTGCACACCCACTTGTTGGAAAAGTGCATTAATAAACAACACACATATGCAGCTGTATAGAGCTGGCACAGGTTCTAACATCCCAACAAGCTGCACGTTTACAGTATGGTGTAGCTGGTCGGCTTTTCCACACTTGTTCGAATTCATTTTGCAGGTTCCCTATAAATTCTTGTTAGAATTCCTTCCATTTGTCACTGAAAGCCAAGGGAAACAATTAATTTGAGCATGAAGCTCGCCTCTGCCCCTTTGGCTTTAATGGGAAATTCTGCCAATGCAACCAAGAGCATTCTTTATTGTATCTATTACTCATTTCGGAAAGAGAGGGACAAATGCAGAAAGAGCTTCACCGTGGCAGCTGTTAGTGAAACAGCTGTCAGGATTTTCCACTGGATTTCCCACGGTTATCTATACTGTCCTTTAGAGTCCACACAGCTGTCAATGAAATCGTCTGTTAAATGATTCACTGCATCCAGTTTTCACTAAACAAATGCACGTTTCTCCTCAGTTATGGCCGCTTATCGCTACGCAAGACAACACGGTTAATGTATGAAACATTGATGCCACAGAGTCCTGCTCATGCTGCAGCTCAAATGTTACATGTTTTTATGTGCACAGACACATCACCTGTCTGAGTGTTAATACATTTATACACCTGACGAGCAGCTTTCAGGATGTGAACTTGACTTCTGTGATTTGTATGCTGTCCAGTTTTTGTACACTGCCCTGCTTTCTGAATGCTAACACTTCTGTTGCATTGATTTTAGTCCAGCTTTAATAAGAGCACACCACTTTCAACTGTCAATCACCTCTCCCACATCCCCCACCTTCGTTCTCTCTATTTTCTGCTTTTGGCACAGCAATTTCCCTGTCAAATTCCTGCAAGTCTGATGCCATCTCAGTTTTACAGCTAGCAATTATCACCCGATACCTCCAGTCACCCTTCTTTCTGTAGCAAAGGCTGTGAACAGGTGTCAGAAAATTTCAGTGTTTTTCTCTTACACTGCCTCCTGTTCAGCACGCTAACCTATGATACCCTGGGTCTAGTCAATCTTGTTTATTTCCTAGGTGAAGTTTTCCAAAGATTGAAGAAAATAATGGCTAACACAAAAACAAATCTACGCCCTTGCAAATAGATTTTAGAGATTTATTGTTCAAAGCTGAGCACAGATGCTCCACAGTCTATGTAAGTGGCAGACAGTTCTCTATGTCCTGGCAGCAGCTTCATGTCACATTTCAGTGGACTACTTAAGAACAGTGAATATGAGCATAATCATTAGTATTAACACTGAATATGTGCCCCAAGAAACTGACAGCTCTGTTCAAGATCTGTATTAACTGAAAATGTGACAATTTTTTTTAAAGTTGCTTCATTCACAAATTCTTTAGGTATATATTAATGCAGATTATGGTGATGTGCAAAAGTCTTGAATCACCAATCATGGAAAATGGAAAATTGATGCAAACATATATGCAACTACAGAATGCGGTGCAAAAACAGTTTGTACAATTTTAATAAGCTTGAAAGTCAATTCCAAGTCCTTGATTCTTCAGCACAGCCTGAACTCTCTTAGTCAAGCTTTCTTGTAATTTTTTTAAGTATTCTTCAGAAATACTGCTCCATTCTCCATTTTGTTTATTACAGGTGTCTCATATTTTCAGTGAATCATACTTGTTATTAATCTCGGTCTCTCTTCTACAGCATGCCTTCTATCCTGTCTTCTTTCTGTCACCCCAACCAGTCATAGCAGATGGCCCCGCCCCTCCCTGAGCCTGGTTCTGCCGGAGGTTTCTTCCTGTTAAAAGGGAGTTTTTCCTTCCCACTGTCGCCAAAGTGCTTGCTCATAGGGGGCCATTTGATTGTTGGATTTTTCTCTGTATGTATTATTGTAGGGTCTACCTTATCTCACAAAGTGCCTTGAGACGGCTGTTGTTGTGATTTGGCGCTATATAAATAAAATTGAATTGAATTGAATTCATATACCTCCCCTGCCTCTCATGGTCACGGACCATTCTTTCCCCTTTTGTCTCTCTGTATGACCCCCTTCCCTCACCTTTTGCATCTCTCCCCTTTGTTTCCAATAATAATGCTTCACTGCTATTTCATTACAAGAGGCCACCATCAACATAAAATCTAAAAGAAATACATTTCTTCATTATATTTAGATTTCAGCTGACAAATTTAGAAGAACCTAATGCATACTTCTGTTTCAAAATCCTTCATCCACTTGCACAGCTGTGCCGCTTAATTCTCTTTTTGTTTTTCTTTTACTTTTGCACATTTTTTGTTTTTGCATCTGCATTGAATATCTTCCTGGATATGCCCCTCTTCTTTCACCTAATCTCTTTAGGGATTGCTACAGTGGATCATCTACCTTTTTATGTGCACATGTCCAAACCATCTCAACCTTTTGTGTCTCTTGTGTCTTCAGCCTGAGCTGTCCCTCTTACATACTCATTTCTAATCTTGTCTATCCCACTCTACCCTCCCTGCACTACTGCTTCAACTCTCTTGTGCTCAGTCTTTTGCATGGTTGACCCCAGGTAATTAAACATGCTGCTCGCTGATCATCACCCTAACTTCAACAATTCTTTTATTCTTTATTTATCCCTCTGTAGTTGCTATAGCTCTGCACATCACCATTGTTCTTGCATTGTTCTTGATGCAAACATAATGCAACTAGAGTATGTGGTGCACAAACACAGTTTATACAATTCTAATAAACTTGAAAGTCAGTTCTGAGTCCTTGATTCTTTAGCACAGCCTGAACTCTCTTAGTCAAGCTTTCTTGTAATTTTTTTTAAGCAGTCTTCAGATATACTTCTCCAGACTTCTTGAAGACCAATCAAAGCTCTTCTTTGAACGTCGGCTGCCTTTTTGTACTATTCTCTGTCATGATGATCCCACACTGCTTCAATAATACTGAAGACCATGAGATTCATGCTCGGTACTGTTCCACTGTGTGTTTTTTATATCCAGTTATGCTTTTACTGTGCTGTCAGCATATTTGGGATCATTGTCGTGCTGAAAATAAAGGAACTGTTAAAATTACACTGTTGTGTAATTTAATGTA